TGTAGTTGATCCACCGAGGTATGCATGGCCGTGCAGGGTTTGTCCCGGGCGTCCAACGGGAGCTGATCGTACCGAGAGTAGAGATCCACCAGCGAGTAGATATTTCGACTGACATGAGATTTTGCCAGCAAGTCTGCCTGAGGTAGCGACCCCGCATCCTAGATAGTCACAACATTCAGCTTCTGCAGATTTTAAATCGACCTAAGCGTTTTATTAGGTTTCTGGAATACAAACCACCTGTTCGCGTATGAGGATGCGGTAGCATCGACTACAAAGGAGTTTATTTTCTCTCTGAGCAAGTGTGTCACTTCTCTTGCTATTCCAAAATCGTCGGCTGCCCCTTTGTCCTTCTAACATCCGTGCTCGATCGTGTGATCCTGACGGGGGTATCAGTTTTGCATCAAGTCGTCCTTTCTGATGATCATTGAAAGTGAATGCCAAGTGAAATTTTTGGCATGCTTCCTTGATCAAACATGTCTCTTGCTCCGTCAGGAATCCCTCCACTCCTATCTTCATGGTGTCTGCTCCTTCGTTCGGTATTCAATGCCCTTCCATTGCCCGTCTTTCTCTGATTACCCGGAGGACTTCTTCCTCTCGGTCCATAACCTCTTCCTTCGTTGTTTCTAACAGGACCGAGACAAACTTAGCCTTCTTTCCTACTAGCTTGTATATGCGAATACTTCCCTCCTAGATCTTCTCTATACTCTTAAAGACTACAAAGGGCCCAGCGTGACGCCCTGTGCTGGGCCCAGCGGAAATCTGTTGGGAGGCCGACGGCCCGAGCGGGACTGAGGGCGAAGGGTGCCGCGGGATCGCGGACGAGAATTTTTGGGAGGCGCAAATCTATTCGGAGGCCGACGGCCTGAGCGGGACTGAGGGCAAAGGGTGCCGCCGGATCGCGGACGAGAATTTTCGGGAGGCGCAACGGGGGCCGCAGGACTGTGCGTGATGCACCATTCCGTAATGTATGGGACGATTCGGTGTCATGGGGGTACCCGTCGCGGCGGCGCGGCGGATTCTGGGTGTGGAGGGTGGATCGCGGCCGACCGCGCGTGATGCCAGTGCTGTGTTTCGTGATCGAAGGCGGGGGATGCGTGGATGTCAACGACGGTCTTATCCCGCCGTCGCGCGATCCGCGAGGTCGGAGAGTTATCGTCTCTCTCTCTCTCTCTCTCTCTCTCACCCACACACACACACACACACACACACACACACACACACACACGAACGATTCATTCCGATTTTGCTAAGAAAGTGGCAGCCGCGAGGTCGGAGAGTTATCGTCTCTCTCTCTCTCTGTCTCTCTCACACACACACACACACACAGACACACACACACACACACACACACACACACACACACACACACACACATGA